ACTGGAAGCAAGAAAGGAGTTGACAAGAGTGAAGAAGGCTTCCCTCTTATCTCTATATATACTATCTAACTAAGAGCTACATGGTCGGGGTAGAGAGAATTTGCCTCAAGAAAACACTGGGCTTTTGGTTGTCACTAATTATTCAATCAAGCTTGAAAATAAGGAAAGTCCTAAGTTTATATATAATTTTTCCCTTTTGAGTAATTACACCAAATACACAATCCTCAAGTAACCGACAACTTCCAAAATATGATAAAATCTTCTAAAACCTTGTTTATTCTTATGTGGAGATTTTTCCAAACTTCAACACCTCATATCTCCTAATCCGACCGTCCAAACAAACTCAAATTTTACATGAAGTACTGATGTATTTTTATTAACTTCTAAAACAAATTTCAACTGCAAATTCGTTGTAGATCTTGAGATATCTTGAAATCCCTAACAGTCGCTTCAAACCCTTGTCTTTATACATCCGCGTGCAATTTTCTTCATATCTCACAAAATATAAGCTCAAATGCCACGAAATTTGTATGCATAGCTTTTTAACACAAAAATTTACATTCTCCAAAATTTTGAGACAAAAATTCATCCGAATACTCAAGTTATGGCTCCAACCATTACTACAAACAAAACCGCTTACTTACTACCTTTGATTTGGAAGCGCCGCCTTCAACTCCTTACAACTCCTTCATATGGACTCCAAAAGTAATAATTCTTTCGTAAAAATTATAAGCCTTGAAATTTCCATTCCAGTCGCACCTTCCGATCTTCAAAAGCTGCTGTAAAACTCCTCATACCTTCAAAAGAGTAACAGTATGTCTTAAATAAACATCTTAACTTCAAACGGCTATAACTTCTTCATCCTAACTCCAAATCCTCTAATTTTTGTACAAAAATTGTACCCGAAACCCTAAACTTTACAATCTTAGCTTGTAATCTCTAAATCTTCTCTTTGAAGTCGCCGAAACTCTTCTTAAGGTCGCGGGCAGACTCCTCAAAGCCCAATGGGCATGGTATTCGACCAATAGGGATGAAGTTCTCCATTCCTTGTCTTCATCTGACCATGCCTTGCTTTCATCCCTCTCAATTAGCCTCCTATTAGTTTAGATTTTCATCCTTAGGTTTCCACCTTCTCCCAAGGCTTCATACTAAACATTTAGGTCCTATATATATATATATATATATATATATATATATATTTTAATTTCAGAATCAAAAGAAGTAAAGAAACAAAATAAATTTTCTTGTACCAACTCCCTTTAATTTAATCTACTAGCCACTCTAACACATATCTAGATTTATCAACATATAATATTTTTTAACTAATTTTTACATACTGTAAGCATTTATAGTATGACAACGTGACAATGTTATATAGGACCTCCAATATTTGTTGACTTTGTAGGATACATGCCTTGACTTACAAGGCAAGTTTTTTTATGTGTGGGCCACATAGTTAGCTTAGACTTCAAGCTAACAATATATGTGGCACATGGCCAACTTGTTGACCACGTTTCTAATCCAAAAAGTCAATTAAAGATACCTATAAAGTCAAAGCAACATCTATGAAGCTTCTAAGAAGCTTCCATAATAAATATTATAAAATTAACTTATTTTTATCTACTTTTATTTACTTCTATCTATTTGTACATGTAATTACTGGCTTACATGCGTATATCCATGATAATACCAAGATCTATGGCCACTGTAATATTTTGAAGGAGCAATATTAAAGAACTTTGCTTACTTTGCATACATTGGTCCAAAAGCATACTGATTGAAAGATCTCACCTTAAACTTGTCATAGTTCTTTGTAAAATGTCCAAATCAACTACTATTGTAGAAAATCAAAGTTGGTTTAGTTGAAAAACCTTATCCTAAGAATTCTCATTGGTATCCATAAAAATAACTTTGTCTACATCCTTGATTCTATCCAAAGTTGTTTGTTTGTAGAATGGACTCTTTATGATTGAAGTTGGTTGCAAGTGTGTCTTCATTTCTTCACTTGATAGTATGATGCTTTCTTCCATTCACTTTTGTTCATAAACTTGATGCTATTTGTTTGAATGTCATAGCAATCTATTAATATGTAATAGTTTGGATAGTACTTTCAAAACTTCTAGAGGCATATTTAATACAAACTGAGTGAGTGATATGTCAAATATATTTTCATTCATATTTATTAATCAATTCTTCAGCTTCTTGGATTTTTCTAATTAATCTTTCACTAAACCTTCTTCAAATAATTTGATGGACTAGACTTGGCTCATGATCATAACAACTTGACTTTGATTTCCTACTTAATACATAGCTTAAAGTACTGCTTATGCTACTACTAGATTTGTATACACAATCATAATATTTGTGAGATCATTGTGAATTATTAAGATCAAAGTTCTTAATTTTTTATCTTTCAATCCTTTAAACTAAAACTTTGTAAATGCACAATCCTCATGATTATGCAAAAAGATTGTTGGATTAACAACATTTTTTGTTACTGCCAACAATCTTACACTATATAGAATGGTTCTTATTTCAAAGCTCAAGACATAGAAATTTTAGGCTCTTGTCAACTTGTTGGTCTCACCAATGTCTAAGTTGGGCATATTGATTGTTGCCATAATGGTTTCTTTGTTTTTCTCAAGAACAATACTTAATTCATATCTACGTGGTTCTTTTTTCTTTCTCTAAACAATCTCATGAGGAGCAACACTTACTTTCAGTAAGTTAACTCTCTCTCATGTGAATCTGATGGACCAGGCTCTCATACCATCTTAACTCAATTTTACAAACATGACTATTGAGATTTTGCAAAGTTCATCTAAAACATATTCTAGGAAAGAACAAAAGGCATGTACATTTTTGCTATGAAAATCAATGGTATGTAATTGGATTGACTTATATAAACAAAGTTCAAAATAAATGATCCTACTATATCAACAAAGCTTGTGAGCATTTTTGTCAACAAATATATTTATTTTGAGTCTCTGAAATAAAAACTTGATACAAACAGATTGCTTGATATGCATCATGTCTCATATGCAATGCAATATGCTAATCCTACAAACATGTAAGCTTGCAACATCAAGAGAGTCATCTTCTTAGCACAAGTGATGAATCAAGTTGAATGTGGATGAGATAGGTTCCACTTTAAAACTGTATTCACACTTTATATCTACTTACAATATTTTTTTATTACTTAATATCATTTGCTGCAAAAAATACTAATAATAAATTTTAAGGGTTGTTAATTATTAAAGATAGGTGGCTCTTTCAACCATGTGGCTTTGCCTCATCCAATCATATATTGCCATGTGGCCTTATTGACCACATGACCTTTGTTAATTAATAAAAGTCAATAAAAATCAATTAATTGTTAAAAATCAATTTTTTTTTATTATGTGCCATAGGACAGAGTTGTATTCTAAAAAAAATAGTAATTATTGGAGGTTATTAGTTTTTGGAGAATTAGCTAACTAAAAAAAACACTGTATATAATTTTTTGCTTGTCAAACATCTTATTGGATTTTTATATGCTTAAAACTTTCAAAACTTATAATTGGTTAAAATCAAAAATGCTCATTTGGGTAGCTCTCTACTTAGGAAAATCAACAAAAAAGCCATTAATATAAACAGACAAGGTAGAATGCACTTTTTTTCCTATATGGCAAGAATTTTATCGTACTTTAAAATATATACTTTGCCCACCTCAAGAAGTAGTTTCTATAAAATTTAAAAAACTGTACTTAAACTGTTTTAAAATATTCATTAAATTTTTTAAATTTTGTAAGATACTTATCAGCTTCTTCAAATAATTTAATATCTATTAAATTATTTTATTTTTTACCTTTTTTTAATAAATTATAAAATCAAGATGCATTTTTCTATATTTAGAAATATATAAATAAAGTATTTTTTCTGTTTCATGGTCTCTTCTTACATTATGCTCTTTCATAAAAGCCAAGGTTTCTAAACTAAATTTTTTCTCCACCAATTACAAGGCTTTACAAGGCTTTTGTACCAGAGCCTTTCAAGATGGGCTTTTAGGCATGAAGACCTCCTTACAAGTTGTTTACATGTAATGAGTCTTTTCAAGAATATCTTGGTAGTTGATAGATCATAGTACCAATAAAATCATTTTGCATGAATAAATAGATTGTATTTGATTATGATTATTTGATGATTAGAATGTGCACTACTAACATGAAGAAGAATTTTTTGATAATTTTATTTCTGAGAATGGCTTATTAATGAGTTGTATAATAATAAGAATAGCCATAAGATGGTCAAATTTTGCAAAATAAAAATATATTTTTTCATTTTATTTATTTTAAGTTCTTATATCACATGACAATCTTAGAAAAAAGAAAAAGAAAAGAAAAGAAAAAAGAAAAGAAAAAAAAAAAAAAAAAAGGACATTCTTATCATACATCTTCATGAATAGTTTTTTTTTTTTTTTGAAAAAACAAGCATGAATTTATTTTAGTATATTTTACAACTGAAGATTGTCGATCAATACTATTCCGAAAGAGTAACATGAAAGCACTTAACCATTCGCTGTAAACCAATCCTCATTGGGGTCCAGGGCTCGGAGCCTATTTCCGAGTACCGGCCAGGAATTCGACCGGTGGGGCTGCATCCCTCCCTGCTCCGTATCAAAATCCAGGCCTGTTCCGGTGCTGTTCACACAGCATTCATCTCGAAACAAGCTCAAGAATAAGGTTAAGTTCCTCCAGTTCCCTACGAAAACCACTCAGAAATAAATAAATAAAAAAGGTGGCACTTTTAACTAATATGAGCATTGTTTTCCGCTACGTAGGGCGAAGGCTAGGTTGCAAGGGAAAATCAGGCGCGTTGATTTACAAAAGCTGATGAAGACCAAGAAGAAGAAGAAGAAGAAGAAGAGGAATGGTTGTGAAAAGGTGAAGCAAGACGCCGAAACGGAGACCAACGACAGGAGGTGGACATCGCGCTTTCGTGAGTATTATGTGGGCCACAAGGCCTACGGCACATCTCTCTCGGGCTTCTGAGGCTGCCCCTTATCCGAGCCCCTTCGCTCGTTCCTCCCATCTCCGTCCTCGCAAGGACCAGCCTCTGCCGGAATCCTTCTCTTTCAATCTGCAGCGAGAAAGGACGGGTAGTGCATTCCATCTAAATTTGAGTGCAAGGTTTTTGTAGCTTTGACATCAACTATGGTAACGGTGTCGCAGCTCCACCTTGCTGGAGCCGCTTCAGCCACTCTCAATGCAGCCTGCGCTCCTCGGAGAACTCTCTCATACCGGGCTTCCTTAGAGCCCGCTCGAGGTCTCTCAAAGTTGGGTATCAGGAAAGACGTGGTCCCGCGTAGAGTGTTTGCTAGGGTGAGCGGCAACGGGGATGTAGAGGTTGCAAAGAATGGGGATGGTATGGCGAAAGAGAAGGGGGATGGATCGAGCAGGTTGCCGTTCAAGGGCGGTGAGATACTTGCATCTGCTGCGGTGTTTTTGCAGACATCTCTGCCCGCGCATGCTTTAGTGAAGGAGGAGATTGAGGAGATGATGAGGTTCTCCCCCGACGAGTGGATCAATATTTACCTCACGACGGGCGCTGCGGCAGTGTTGTACCTCTTCGTCATTCCGCTTGTCATCATGAATTACCTCCGGTTGCGATGGTATAACCGGACTTTCCTCGAGACCTACTTCCAGTTCATGCTCGTCTTCCTCTTCTTCCCCGGCTTGCTGCTGTTGGCACCCTTTGTCAACTTCCGGCGCTTGCCGAACGATGGGTCGGATAAGCCTTGGTGATTTCTCCAGCACATTCCTGCCTTGAGCTATTTGTTGATTGTACTACTATTTTCAGTTATTTTAGCTGTATTCTTATGCTAAATCAATTGTAGAAAAAAAAAAAAAAAAAAAAAAAAAAAAAGCATTTGTTGCATCTTCCTGTTTTCGTCGAATTTGCATCAATTAATCTTCCATGTGGTCCCGGCTCTCAAGCATTGCAAACAAGCAATTTATGTGGGAAATAAGTATGACGCCTTGAATGAGATAAGCTCCTCCAAAGTGAGACGAAACAGTGAATTGTGGTACCAATCAGGTCGAAGTTATGTATAGGTATAATCAGATGCTTCGTAATTGGTCGGACTAGCCCGAAATTCATGTCCCACTTATGTGACTCTATGTGTATCAATTGTTGCTTCTCATATTCTAGTCTATTTGGTCCAAGCGCATTCAGGTGCCTCACGAATCAAGATATAATTCAAAGTCGAGGAATATGATTTTCTCGACTCACGAAGCTAGTTGACTGCTGAGTTATGAAATCAGCAAGCTAAGGTATTTCGTTCACTATTTATTTTTGAGCAATCGCAGTCAACTCGTGCATGCCACAATCTAGAGTGAATGCTCAATTCACACACCTTCAGTTTCATCTATCCTCACTTGTAGAATTGTGTTGTACAAAATACTTAATATAAATTAAATACACGTCGTAACCTCATACATTGATTTTGAAGAATGTGTTACTACATCAAAACATTTAAGTGTTGGACTGGTTACTCGTGAATGCTACGCTTACTGTCTATGGCGGGGAACAAATCACATTTGTGTATGGACAAAGTGGCTAATCGTGTTGCTGAATTGGTTGGCACACACCTTGCTTGTCACGAAGTTGACTATACCTGCATTATGAGGAATTTTTTGGCTTAGAAACTGAACTTCGAAAGCTGTTCAACTGCAAATGAAAAAGATGTGGCTCACCAAGTGAAAGATAGTGAAATAGACACTGATGAAGATGAAACAAATTACTTACAAAATCATGGTCAATTTCATCAGATATTTGAATGCAAAATTGTACATTTTGCTTCATTTAACATTACAGTTTTTCACCGACTATGAGGTCTCCTGAAGGTAGCCAACAAGCTTTTGCCACTTTAACATGCCTTCCGCGGAGTAGTTACAGATACCCCCTTGAGAATGGAGATCTAAAACTAGCTCGGGACACAACGTCGTCTGCTACAACAATGTGACGGAAGCCATGTAGCATGGACACCAATTCTACAATTTTGAGGGTGTTCACAATATCCTGGAGAGTTGTAACACTTTTTGGTATACAGTCAAATGCTTTCACCGACTCTTCCAAGTGAAAGACTCAGTTTAATTCACACCCTAAACACAGGATCCCTGCCCTTCCGTGATAAAAAGTATCGACGGTATCCAAATGAATAATTTAAAGGATTATCGCTCCATGAACTTATCAATCATCTATACCTTCACCTACGAGCTTGAATCAACCAAATGCTACTTTTGATTGATCACGGTCAGCGGCTTACAGCCAGAAATATGCCTTCTTGAAAGCTTGTCAATCCTTGGGTGAGTGTCGAGTCTCATCGCTGACTTGGTAAAATCGAAGGAGATTAACTTGACGTCTCGTCTTACAGGATCAAATCAATCAAGACGGCGCCCCGAACTGCATTGAAGAATGCCCACACAAGTTGCCAATTGCAAAAGAAAATCGTTAGCACTAATAATATGCTTGAGTAAACATCTAATCCTTTGCCTTCACTCGCTCCACCTATTGAAGACGTCGAGAACATCCCGAATTGGAAGCAAAGGGCCTCCGTTCCAAACGGTGTGCTGTTGTTTTCCAGGGAATTTCCTTGTTCCTGGTGCACAGTTAAACATGCGCATTGCAGCTCTAACCTTCGAGGTGGACAATTAAATAAAAAGTGCCACCGATCGGAGCTTCAATTGTCACTTACAGATCACTTTAACGGATCCAACTCTTCGAATTACGGGAGTAGGAGGCTTGGGGTGAAAACATAACCGTTGTGATAAGGCTGTGAGACCGGCGCTGCCCCTGGTGCAGTCGGGACGCAGGGCGGCAACCATACCCAAGACTTCTTGCTCACGTTGTAAGCCAGAAACCTCGTGGCCCATTTCACGAAAAGAATTACGTCGTCGTTGTCATCCCGCCTAAAGGACCGTGGGGGACTCTTTGGAGGGCTTCGTCTGCCGCTGCACATGGCTTCCAAGAGAATGTCCACGACGTTCCATCGCCGTGTATCTTCGTCAAGCTCCCAGATGCCAATATTGTTACTCTTATCGTGCTGGTTGTGACGGTATGCACCCACGAGGAAGAGATGGCCAGGGCGAGCTACGAGGCTCGGGCCACTAATCTCCGCTGGTAAGGAGATCTTTAACCTGTTCCATTCTTCATTCACCACGTTGAATGCATGGAGCTGATATGGCCGCGCAGTTAAGCAGTAGAGCACGCCCTCGCAAACCGCTGAACACAGGACCGCTCGTATCGAATGCCCGACAAGTGTCCGAAAGTGACTTGCAAGGAACGAAGTGAAAGAATCCAAAGGATCCAGCTCCGCTTCGTAAGACTTCCAATCTTGCGAAACGGAGTCGAATATATACGCAACCAAAACTTTATACTCTCGGCTACTGCTGCTGTCCTCTCTCCTCACTTCTCCAATTACAATAAGCTTGTAGGTACCCGCAAACCTGTCCACCACAAGCCCCGCCACACTCACCAAGCTCGTGGCTGGATCGAGCTGGGGGGGGGAGGGTACATCCCGCCAGAACCTTGATAAAGGATTACAGATGATGAGCTTGGTCGGCATGACTCCTCTGGCGGTTGCATTCCACCCTGCACCAAGGCAGATCAAGCCATCGGCAGCAGCGAGAGGAGCTTTCGTATTTAGGTCAAAGGGGAGAAACCCTAGAGGGAGACTGTACCATTTCGATAGCTGCACGTCATAGGCGAAGCAGACAGTGCCCACCTTCTGTTGGCCAAAGGTGAGGAACCACTCCGCAGGGGCGGTCTCGGACTCGGCTTCGCAGAGACGAATGAAACTCGACGTTCGGAGCTTGATTTTCCATTTTTTGCACACAGACTGCATGCGGATGAGATACTGGAGGGGGAGCCGGGCTATCACGCGGTCCAGGACATCGTCTGGAAGCGACGACCATATCTCTCTTCTTAAGATGGTCTGGCCAGGGAGCACTTCGCCCTTAGCCTGATTGTTGACTTCATGGCCCTTGATTCCAAGCCGAGTGATCCACATACCTGCCATTCTAAACCCCGAAATGTTCTCACACTTGCAACGAAAACTATTCAATATGTGTGCATGAACATGCTCCAAAACTAGGAGCCTCAAATCGACTCCAACCCGCAGAACAAATCTCTTTCCACAGGGCTGGTAGCACTGATTCGGCCACAATTACCGAGTCTACAACCCATTTTACAAACACTCCTCCCTATCTCGGTATACAATATGGTGAAAAGCGATCAATGACGAGGAGTGACCATAAATTGGCGATAATCCTAGCAATTGTCTAGCAGAAACAACAAAGACGGAAGGCTTCCCTCCGTGCAACAGGGTCACTCTAGTCAGGCAGCCACTCATCCTATCACTTGCGACTTCGAATCCAAGTGCAGCGACAGCACAAAACCCCACGGATTCATTGCTCCGCTGCTTCCCCTCCCACACACTGAACTCCCGACACGACCAACTAGTATCCCTTCGCGCGAGAAAAAAATGAAAATAATAAAAATAAAGCAAAATGAAATAAAAGCCCTGCTCCTGATTCCCGGAAGCGAACTCGCCTCGCGAATCACGAAACCCAAACCTGGCAGGCACACTAGCGGCTCTGCAATTACCCCACGGCCTCCCTGCGCAGCGGACCATGCATCGCCATACGCTTTCAAGAAAAGGGAACTCTCCACACCACACGGAAGAAACACAGCAAAACCAAAAACCGTATCCAAAGGTACACGAACTGGCTCGAAATCGTACTTTAAACACACTTTCTCGATCTCTCTCGACCCACACGGATAACGACGTCAGTCAACCTCACAACCAACACAAATTCACCTGTTCCGTAGCATATCAAAGCCCACTCAGCCAACCAGCCAGCCAGCCGGGAAATGAAAAAACAGTCCTACGCCCAAGTTCAATGTGTAGCTCGCATACACACACCTGCGAGGTAGGAGGATTCAAGCAACGATCACCACCCAGCCTCGAGAGCCTACCGCACACAGAAAAAATATATATTTTTTATATGTTCCTTTCCTTCTTTCCTTCTTCCTTTCCGTCATTTCTTCTTCCCCTGTATGTCGAGTGCGCTGATACTTCGGTTGGAGTAGTGGGAATTCCACCGAGTAAAGCCCTTTGCCGATTTCGAAGGGTGGGGGTGCATTCCTCCGTGACGGTGCATCATCATCGGAACTGACTTGCCTCCTCGTCGAGACACCCGATTTGCTTCCCTCGTTCCCCGTGGAAATGGGATCCCGGAAGCATCAGGGATCATAAATGCCACCAGGTCACTTGCGGACACAGGCCACCTGTTTCCCCCGCCTCGGTGCATCCGCCCTCGCCAGATTTTCAAATTTCCACAAATGAAGTTTCTTCCATTACTTCATCCATGATTTTTCATTTCCTAGATGGATGAGAGTACGGATGGGTGCGATGATGGATGGATGATATATATTTGCAGATTTTGACATATTCCTCCACTCATTCCTTCTTTTTGCACACTGTCGATAAATTTTTTTTATAACTTTTTTGCAAGTACAACTTTAGTGGAATGAAAGAGGTTCGGAAATGGGCCTTGCTTTGGCTTCGCAGATTTTTTATATTTTATGGAAAGTATGCATAAAACTAAATTTGATCTTGTTTTTGTTTTTGATAATAGAAATATTGTTACTATTTCTTTATCTAAAATAATTGAACGTGTTACATTATCATGTTTGAAGTGTGTTGATTGCTGCTGAAACCAAGAAGTACACATTGTAATGCCTGTTGAAAAAAACATATAAAACTATTCACACATGATAACTTCCAAACATTAGTGAAAATAGGTGGAAAGTTCAGTTGGTTTTGCAAAAAAAAATATTTGTTTCTTCATTCATCCAATCTTGATTTGCCTCAATCAACTTTTTTTTTTTTTTTTTTTTTTTAATGTCCTATAAAAAAATGAAAATTTACAACGTGTGCTTTGCAATAAATACATTATTGTAACAAGATACTATCAAATGCGACAATTTAGTTGGTTCTCCTTTAATAAACGATGTATTTTCAAAACAAACCTTTTTACTTTATTTTACTTTATTTTAAATTTACACTCATTATTGGATGAAATACACAATCAACAATTGTGTTATCATTATCAAGTTTTGTCAATAACATTGGATACATCACACACACAAACTCATTCACATTCTTAAAAAGAGATATTTGTACATACAAATAAACAATTGAAAATCCTCAAACAAATGTAAAATGTGAAATGCTTGTCATACCAAATATCAATGAAATACACCAACTTGCACCATTGATTGCTTAATTGACACACCAACATTTCCCCTCATGCTTTGGTAACGTAGTTGTTGCTGTTTTCGAAATTCCCATGAACTCTTGGAACACAATCATGGTGAAGGACAACGTCAAGGAGGAATCCACTTTACTTACTAACCACCCAAACGAAAAGGAAAAAATAAAATAAGATAAAAAATGCCATGTTTTCAAACGCAAAGTGTGTAAGGTCAATCTAAATGAAAGGAGGAAAGTAAGAGAGAAAGACGAGAATCCTATTGCGAACAAAATCAAAGGCAACAGTGAAGATAGAACGGGCAGCCACAGAGAGAGCAGTGATGAGAAGCAGTGCAATATCCGCCGACAAGACGCACACAAAGGGCAGCACAACACAGAGTTGTGAGGGCAAGGAAAGTGGGGCCCTATCAACTGGCCAATTGTTGCTCATACGATTCCACCCACTAGCTACCCTGATTGTATACAAATGAATGAATCCAAGGCTGCTGCAGCTGCACTGTCTCGTTCAACCGCGGCGCGGATTAAGATTGTCTACAGATGGGCCACACCGCAAAAGGACAAGCCAGGCGCAGACAAAAGGGGTTGAGACTCAGATCATGCTGGAGCACATGAAACTCCGACCATTACACACCAGAATTGCAAAGCCAAAAGGCCACATGCTAGCCCCACTTGAGCCCCACTAGAATTAGCATAAGGAAGCGCTGTGCACCGCAATCAACGTAGTGGTGCGCTTTTTGCAGGTGGGCCAAAATGGTGGTGGTGGTATGGCATTCCCTTTTCCAACTGCGGAGTCTGCCCCTGGGGCCGAATTTTCGGAAAACTCAGCGTTGGGCTCTATTGGTGGCCAACACTTCGTGTTTGAGCTTTATTGAGTCACCTTGTGGGGTAAAGAATCTGTTGTGTAGGATCCCGCTCAGCTTGCACAACTCGGCAAATCTTGTGGGGTGAAGCCAGTATACGATCGGTCGTGGTAAGTTGGTGAATACGTTGAGTATTTTGATTAGTTAAGGGTTTAGGTTAGAAGTAGACCGAAGGTTGGCGTGCGCTGCTACTGTGCGGAGCTGGTGGGCTATTCCAGTGATCTTTGAATTAGTATAAAAAGCGTTGCAGGGAAGGGTTAACAGCCTCACCAAACTCGCAGCATTGTAGTCGCATTGAAAATTGGTAATAATTTTGAAGTGACGGTGCAATTCTTCCTTGAATTTTTCGGCTATAAGTATTTTTCTCAGAATTGTCTTGCTTTCGTGGGCCCCACAGTGTAAGCAGTGGGGAACATGAATGGTTTGTGCAACACGTACACAAGCTAATCGTAAATAGTGTTGCAAGTCGAGGGCCTTTACACAGGACTGCACAGGAAAAAAATGCATATCGCTACATTCCACACTTTGGAAGTTACGATTTACAAGGAAGACACACGCTATGGTCTAGTTTTGAAATGTAAAAGTCTAATTCAGACTGCATAGCTATCAGACAAGCTTCTCATTTCTACTCCAAACTGGAACCAGTATTCGTATACTTCCAGTCCACATATCAAGAGTTTTTCATTTTAGGATTGCATCAGCAGCTTCTATCAAGGAATTGCTGATAGTCTCCTGCAGATACGACACCGTGCTCACAGTTGTCTTGGCTAGCCAGCTGAGGCCTACTCTGGCTCTGTGCTCGTTAGTTGGGAGGCGATACAAATATGCAAGCTTCCTCGCTGCGGACGGTCCACAAAAGAGAATCATAAGAACAGATACCCAAGACAGTAATGTGCCAAAGGGAGACAAGCATTTCACTTGATTGTACCCTCAGGCTGGATTCTAAAATCAACGACGGAAGTGGTTTCCTTTGTAAAAAACAAATAAAGGAAGTAAGAAGGAACGTACCCTGGTGTCCCAAGAATCCATCAAGGGTAACACCCTCGATAAAGCTCAAGGAGACTGATCCATCATTTGTTCCCAATGTCATCATCTCGCCTAAATGTTGGTATCTGTGCGTTGGACCATAGAGTGCGGAGGTTTCATTTAATTTTAATAGTAAATTAGCAATGTGTGCAATGGCATGGATAAATAAATCCAAGGAATTGATGTAACAAGAGCAACACACACCAAGCAACTACTTCGTGATAGCCAAGGGTAACTCAGAATTATATAATTTTCAACACAAACCTGAAGGGTAAAAGTGGGCGATTGTTGATGGCAGCCCACAAGTTCCAGCCAACATAGTCGGCTTGCTGGAATGCTACCTGTAGATTCAAGACAACCATGTTGCTTCAGATTAAATGACTAATATCAATGACATAAAAAATTTCAGTACCCAGGACCAATTAATATCAAACCAATTGTTCATAACATCTACATTCGAGCACCCTTTATGAGTCGAAAAGTTAAGACGTATCACACCTGCGCAGTGCTGGGGAGTTGTTTTCCATTGCCATCTGTTGCGCCAGCCGAATCACCAAGAGCAAAGATACGGGGATAACCTCTCACCCGTAGCATCTCATCGGTGTCAGCTTGTCCACGACCATTTATAGGAAACGATTGGTATCCAGCTTGGGTTTCTGATGGAGGTATTGAAACTTTCGTCCCAGCAGTCCACAGTACTAAATCTGCTTCAATAGTTTGGCCTGGAGGAGCTCGCCGGCTTGGACGTTGCGATGGTTGCCCAAGCTCAAGACGAATACGATTTGAGCTTTCGTCAGCTCGTCTCATGTTTGCTACGAAATATCCTAGCATTAACTCCACGTTTCTACTTGAAAGAACCTGGAGATTATAGCTCCAAAACAACATCTCAGTACCCAAACCTTTGCTGGATGTGTCTAAAAATTCACAAGTTGCACAAAGAGACAACGAAGCTCCATATACAACTAAAGGTTTCATGAAAATTTACCCTTGATGCTGCTTCTCTAGTGCCAGCTGGTGCTGAAGCCACAATATCCGATGCCATATCAATCACTTTAACTGTTCCCTTCTGGCCAAGCCTTTCAGCTAGGGTGGCAGAGAGCTCTACGCCGGAGTAACCCGATCCCACAACGACCACCTCAATAGGTGCATAAACTGACGCCTCATTTTCAAGAGTAGTCAACCTTCTGTCCACCTCCTGTGAAACCAAGTAAATTGTCGTTTCAGGTACTCTAGTGTTAAGCGTCAGTATCTGAGATTAGCAAAACTCTTCTAACGAACTTACGGTAGACGGGTGTTCAAACTCACCAATGCGTCTTCAAGAGTGCTAAATGGAAGTGCCAGCTCAGAGGCGCCTGGTACAACATTCATGCGAGGCTCCGAACCCAGCGACAACACCAGCCTGGCCCCGACCGACCGACCGACCGACGCCACGTTAAGTTCATAATTTACAATTCCCACCTGAATTCAGTGTGTAAACCCAGCATTACACGTACTTCTATAGCAATAGTTAAGAAAGATATTCAAGTAGCTTATCACATCTAAAGCGCAGTAATGTTTAGCAATCCATTGTGCAAATGTGAAGTAGATCAACAGCAACGAACCATACCAGTCGTAGTCTACTTGCATTCCACTGCTGAGGTATACCGACCCACCAACGTCTCGACTTGCAGTAGCCAAAGCTGGCGTACCATTCACTGCATCAGATGGTTGAATAGACCTTACAGTGTCTTGACAGAATCGTATGTTAGTATTCGCGAGCAGTTCCTTAAATGAGGGGGCAACTTCCCATTCATCCGCCTCTGCACAACAAGTTGACGCAACATATGACACGCAAGGCAGTTAGAAGTATGACGATTAAAGAAATCCATCAGAGCGAAAAAGCAGATAGATATATAAGAAAATGAATGGGGTAGAGATTGTAAAGTTATCTAACCTTTAGAAACGAGCTCATATAGCAGAGGCTTAAATACAAATCGGTCTGACTGATCGACCAAAACAATCTGTCATCCATAAAAACAGCATATCAAGGTTGTCAAAAGTCAGAAATTGCATACCCAGTATAATTGGGATCATTTAATTGTTGGCTTTCATTCGGGTCTCACCCTTGAGCAAGAGCAATGCTAACGTTTCTTCTATCGATTCAATTGTGTTACAGGTTGAGAGTACACCTAGCGAAGAATATGGCACTCATCCCCAAAACCCTGCTTTTCTATTTTACTGATGGACTTTCACTACGCAACTCTTCACATTTGTTTTCTTTCATCACTCTGGCAGTGTTGACAGTGCTAATGTCTTCATTTCATGTTAAGGCATAGTTTCTTCACATGAAGACATTTAGAGTAATGTTAAATCACTTAAGTAGGGTTGCAAGGACTTCGTTGATCAACACATGCATGCATAATGGCCAATACCTGTGGTTTCTTATCAGGTGGCCAGATCAAGGATTCAAGCCGCAGGGCAGTGTAGAGTCCACCAAAACCTCCTCCAAGTATACATATCCTCGGCCTCTGTAAACAGTCCAGCAGTCTTCATTAAGATGTTTCCTTCATACACCTATAAGCAGGCAAGTTCAATTCTATAAGACAAACCTACTGTAAATCCTAACAGCAGATACTAGTTTCGCCATGTCAGCATTTAGAATTGTAACATGTAGTCGAAGCTATCCGTGCTGCTTAGAAAGTGGAGTTAATTAGCTATTTTTAAATTAGTACAAATTCAAGGTCAATCAGAGCAACGTGCAATCTTCTGCTTCCTCACCTTCGGATCAGACCAGACAAATGAAGTAAGTCCAGCGCCGCCATCGTCAAGCACCGCATCACTATTTCGTCCCCCTGCCTCGGCACGAGCAGCCATAGCTGCTGACAGTGAAATTGCTTGAAGTGCAATAAATGGTTGATAAAACTTCACTGTTGAAAAGAAGAGACTTCTCATGCTCCTCTTCCAATCGGAGGTAGTCATCTGCACTTGCCTGACACTCGAACTCAATCTCGCGCGACATGGTTGCAAAAATAATAACCCAGATAGCTCTTGTTTTTCACATCTTCCTGCTCACACAAGGGGACTCTCGTCAATAATTGACTTAACACAATAATTTACATTGAAAACTTCAAAATGAAGTTGATGTTTGCAACTTTGATACACGGTCACTTGGTAAAGTATGACAAAAATTACCCCAGCTCTTCCAAAAGCACAATTGACCCGACAACAAATTAAGGAACACACTCAATCATAGGATCTCACTGTTGCCGAAGCTAGAATTTGGAATTTTAAGCCAAATTATTCGTAGACCTACGAAATGCCAAGGGCGAATAGTTACTTTTTGATTAAAAAAACAACTATCATCTCGTGAAGGCTCGTTGCCCACAAAGCAACTCCTCAGAGGCCCTTAATTCGGGACTTCGGTCGATCGAGTGATTTCAAGAGAACAGAATTGCCACCATACCGCCCCTAGACGACAGCAGCCTAATTCCACATGCTTTTCAACTGAATTTTGCGAATACAAAAGAAAATTTAGGAATGTTCATAAAATTCAGCATGATCAGGTTCGACATTAGTTTGTGAAGGTTTCGGGTTCAGCAACAAACTTTGAAATGGTATGCTACATATGATTTTTTTTTCTCTCACAGCCACAAAGCAGCTGAAATCCCCTATGCCGTGTGCTAGGTCAAGTTATCCAGACAGTCTATTGTACCCTCAACGCACTTTCGACACTAGTCGCTTTTGGACTTCACACTGCATCACTAAATGTGGTTCGTCAAAATAAATAAGTGAATAAAATTACTAGTAATGAAATAGAGTTCTCTTTTGTTTAATACGAAAGCTCGTCATTGATGAGGGATAAAACACTAATGATTCCCTTGAGCAGACGCACATTCAAGCAACAGCAAAGCTGAGCCTAAGGAGGTGCAAAGCTAGAGACACGGAAAATTCTCCAGCGTTCAAGTTTACACTTAACCACAACACATTTCATAGGAAATTAAATCGATCTCAACCCCAATATCCTCTTCCTCGTAAAAGCGAAATCTACCGTAGGATTTCACAACTAGGAACGAAATCCAAAATTTCACAACAAAAAACTAGAATAATTCTGTAGACCCACCAAATTTCCCAACTCCCAACTTCAGGGAGAGAAGTAGGAGACAGTACCTCGGTACGCTACGGGACTCACGACTGGACTCAGCACCAGATTGAGCGCCATCTCGTTCCTGTGTTCTCCAGACTGGACAAAATCCGGTCACCCAGGCAAGAGTTTCGGCAAGCAGTGCCCAATTCTCAGAACACCACTGATCCGGCATCCATCAGATGGAGCTGTGTAGAGAACAAGCGAGGCCAGGGCAGCAGCAACTGGGGGATTGAAGCGGGGCTGGGATTATGAGCCTGGGGCGTGGAAGAGTGGCAGTCTCCCGATGCAGGCAGCGCTGGCGCCAGCATCTTGTGGCCACGCCACATCCACTCCAGTGCTTTGCTTGCTTCCCCTCTTTCGACGATGATGACCAATCGAGTTCTGGAAGGTGACCCCCTCATCCATCCATCCCCACCTCCGAGGACTTTCAAAACTCTGCGTTCTCTGTGTGTATATGTTCTCTTCGTAAGGAAGTTGTGATCGCTTCTGTGTCTGTATCCATGTGTCCAAGGCAAGCGACTTGCACTATCATTGACTGGTATTTATATTTAGTTTCACATTAAACAGTTTTAGGTTTGATACTTCATTCATCTATATATATATATATATATACATATAAACAAACTTTAAAATAAAATAAAAAATGTAATATCAAGTGTACAACAAAGAGGCTGAAATAATATGCTTGTGGGTTTTGCTTTTGTGTAATTCAGACTGTATTGTGTCTAATCAATTTTATAATTATATTTGGATGTGTATGTATATTTCAAAATTTAAGCATATTTATCAAGAAGAAAAATAACATATATATATATATATATAGATATATATATATATATATATATATATATATATAGATATATATATATATATATATATATAGATATATATATATATATATATATATATATATATATATAATACTTGTGGAAACTTGTGCCATTGGCTACAAAAAAGTTGTAAAAGTTCAATTTGTGGTTGCTAAGTCAAAAATTGATCATTTCTAAAGAGATGTTGACCAAGAAAAAAATAAAAAATAAAAATAAAGAGTATATGCATAATGATAGAACCATTCATGTTTCTTCAATGTAATTGATAAATACAATTTTTATTTATTACAACTACATAAATAACTAAATTAAGAGAACTTTGAGATAAACTACATTTTTGGTAGTAAAAGAGATTTCTTAGCATTAAAAGATATATACTTGGAATAATTGATAATATTTTCAAGCTACAAGCTATGATAGAAGCTTCTTATATTAATAGAATGTAGAATATTGATGCATTGAAGTTGTATTTGCAGCTGATTTCTGGTGCAATATATAATGTTGTTATGCACGGAGTGGTTATTGGCAATTGCATTGTAGAAATTGCTTGAGATAGTAGTTAGATGTAAACGCAAAGCCTGGCATTGTTGGAAATTGAGTTGAGATTATCAAATCAAGTTTTGCATAAGGTATAGGATGTTAGTACACTTGTGCAAAGTGGTGCAGCTCCTTGTTTGTTGGCAATGTAGTTTTAAAATTGGGGTTGATGTTAGGTAGGTGGAGAAGATTAGAAGGCAATGTTGGAATGAAGATTGGTTGAGATGAATTGGTGGCAGACATGTGAGCATGGAATAAGGGTATCAAAGTTGTATTCAAATGGAGATGGATATTGTTGTTTAGGTAGCAGCCTGGAGTTGCAGAGATCATTTCTAAGCAAGGTGGGAAGTTGTAATTGGAATGAAAGTGTAATTATATGAAGATACAAATGGCTGGATGTGTTAATTTGCAATCCTTTTAAGTAAGATTGGTTGGTGGTTATGAAAATTTTTACTATTAAAATAAAACAAATATATAAAAGGCCATACATTAAAAATAAAAAATAAAAAAATAAAATTATGAATTAAATCAAATATTAGAAAAGAATTTTGGTCTTCTTGGTTCTTTTAATAAAATCTAAAAATAAATTTGATTATCTATAAAGTAATAAATATTAAAAATATTAAAAATTTAAATTTTTTTATTGCAAAGTCCAAACAATTGTTGTATACATTTTTTATATTTTTATAAGTAAGTGTTTATTAATTTTTTTGATAAATGAACTATTCTTTAAAATAATATGAAGCAACTTAATAAGATATTTAAACTTTTTAAAATATTTCTTTTTAGTTGTATTGATAATAAAGTGGAAAATAGCATTATGTATATTTTTATGTAAAACTACCTACCAAAATTATATTAAATAATATACTAATGTGAATTACCAAATAATAATTAAAACATTATCTATTAATAAATAGTATTATATAAAGGTTGATAATACTTAAAGATGCTATGTGATGTAATTACTATGTTAATATAACAATGATACGATTCTCAAATTATAAACAATGATGTGACCATTATAAACCTCAAAAGATTTTATAGTGTGGATTTGCACTTAATCATTTATTAATCAAGTGTTGATTTTTACATGATATTTATTAAGAATAACTTAATCAATGCTAGATTACATCAAGTGTAATGTAGACCTTAATAGTTTGAAAGAATATAAAAAGAGCATTATCACATGTTAACTGAAAATTAGAATAATTAGCTACAACTTTATTCTTTATAAAATCACAAATTTTTGGTTGCAAAATTAATCATCCAACTACACATTTGTTGAAGTAGTAAATGTTAAAACAAATATATTGTGCTACTTGGATAGGAATCAATCTTAATTTCTCAATCGATTACTACAACACATATTCCTTTGCAAACATTGTCCTCCGCATTTTCCTACCCACACTAAGCACAATGAGAAGAATTCTACAGTCTTGTTTTATTATGGATACCCAATCCTTATCCGGGTATCCAGAAACGTACGATACCCTATACGACCCAGGGTATTGAGAGCGGAGCGCGAGTTGTGAAGCGGAATTGCGGAGAACCGAGCACGCCAGACGATTTTGCAGTTTGCAACGTCGGTTATCGACGTTGATCTGAATGACTGGCCGGAGATGCAACGTCGTGGAGGCGAATTTGCAGCCGCAGGTTCAGATTCTGCGTGGCCGATTGGGTATATGGCACACCAACAAGTGTGCCGATCTCAAATGATTGCCGGGCACCTGTTCCACGCTTCTCACTGCAGGCCAGAAATCCGTCGTAAAATCATTTCTTCAAATCGCCCCTCCATCAAGTGGTCTCAACAATTGTGATAGGATGCTAATGCCACGAGGAAACTGAAATTTGGTCACGAGAGGATGTGACATGGATGTAGGAATTCCTTGTGAATTGTGAAATAAAGGGTAATTCAAGAGCAATCGTTTGCGTCTCTAGAGTTTTTGAGGTCAATTTTCGATTGCAGGTCATCTCCCTCTTCCCCGCCTCAGTTTTGGCGGCTATGGCAGCCATGGCGGCCTCCGTTTCTTCGGTGGCTTCGATGTATTCTCATCAGATCTGCATTTCGCGCGTTGAAGCTCCCGTTGCTGCTGCCTTGTGCTCGCTGCGCTTCCGCCAGGAACAGCTCCTGCCTTTGACGAGCTTTGGTGGGAACCAAGTGCAGCGTTCTTGCACTAGTTGGTGAGTTTGTATGCGTGGTTGTGGGCATGCGTCACTTCCATCTGCTTGGAGTTTTTTCGGGCTTGCATGTATTGTGTTATCGGTTATTTCTCTTATTCACAATGTAGTGTCTCTACAATGTGGCTATTCGGGTAGCTTTAGGTAGTGGGTTTTGTGGACCTTGAACAAGGAGTGTCATATCGAATAATCTCTGTCAAGAGCTGGCCGCTTCTGCATTCTCAAGTAGAGTGGCAGGAGCTGGTCGAGGCAGACATCAGGGTCTAAGGTTTATGATGCGAGAGAAGCAATGAAGTTGCGCTTTTTTGCGTTCCGAATTGAAGCTGAGTCACAGTCCGCAGCTGTAGAGGTCATCAGCTTGCATGAATTGGTTTTTCATTATCCCAATCAGAGCTCCTTTCTTGTGTATTAAGTTGCAGCCAGTATTGTAACGATAAGTAAAGACTGAATATGCTGCTACTTCGAGCAGAGAAAAACATGATCATTAGTATTTAGGTTTAAATTGTGTGCTTGAGAAGAGGAAGCAGCAAGCGGCAACTTTTACTGCCCCTGCCGTGTTTCTGCAAGTAATTCTATTTGCGTATACCTCAGCACATGAAGTAAGATTGGGAAGCTCAGTTTTTCATGAGCTTTTAAACTGTTTGTGACAAGATCAGGCGGCAGGTGGAGTGCTCATATTCCGCGTACAGCAGTGACCCCGACTACAGCTCCTCCCCAATCGACGTGGATGCCGAAGTCAAGTCCATGAAGGTGATTAACGACCTTAAATAGTGTTCTGTAAATTACTGAACTCCTGTACACATTGACAATTTGGAGGACTTGAAGGCCATTGTATAACCCTTTACACGAATTCGAAGTCTTTATGTTTTCGTACATTACCGCATTTCGTCCTTGCGATTTATATCTCGGCTGACATGGTTGCTCATCAACGCACGCGATCTGATTATCAGTGGTATGGGCTTGGTTGCTACTGTTTCTTCGCAGATCCTGGTGCTGGGTGGTAATGGCTTCGTTGGTTCAGCGGTCTGCAAGCAGGCTGTCGCGCAAGGGATCTCTGTTGTAAGCCTTAGCAGATCTGGACGCCCAGCCATTTTGGAACCATGGGTTGACCAAGTTACGTGGGTATCAGGTAAGCCCGTTATCCTTAACTCCTGCAAACAGCACTCAAATCAAACATTGTCGGATACACGTGGGCGCGTTAGTTGTTGTAATCTTTTTAGGAATTCTGTAAACTTGTCACTGTGAGAGATTAATTTGAAAGGTGATGATTCGGCTACGTAAATACTTGGGGGTGTATATTATCGGCATCCTGTGTGAAACCTTGCTGAGTGTAGCACATTACATTAGAATATTGCACCAAGACATTAGCCTGAGCTAGGTGAGAATTTTTTTTAACAGTACACCTCCTTTGGCTGGTGATTCTTGTAGGGATATAAAGGCGTTTAGTTTTGAATCGTTGTGTATTTGGCACAGGGGATGTGTTCCTTACCGAGTGGGATTCTCTCCTCGACGGAGTGCAAGCAGTGATTTCCACTCTCGGTTTGATAGGTCCCAATGATCAGATGGAGAAGATCAATGCCGACGCCAACATCATAGCTGTGAACGCTGCAAAGAAGGCCGGTAAGTTCAGTGTGCGCAATAGGTAGAAAGCTGGTTTGTTGATTTCGTGTACGAACAAGCAGACAATCATTTTAGTATCTAGCTGTTTCGCCAACACTGCAGAAGCTACAAACTTTTTGATGATTTTATATAATGTTTTTTCCAGGTGTTTCCAAGTTCGTCTACATATCGGTGCACGACTACAACTTGCCAGAATTCGCTCTTAACAATGGCTACTTTGCAGGGAAGCGCAAAGCTGAAGCCGAGATTCTCTCAGCATTCCCCAACACCGGTTTGTTACATTCCGCTCTCCTCTTGCCACATTTTCCAGATCACAAACTTGAGACAAACCTGAGTCCGTAAAGTCCTTCATGGCTGGGTTTCTGATCAGCTAATAAATTCTTAGGGTTACTGATTGCTGTTGTTGTTATGGTTGGTAATTCAGGGACCATTCTACGACCGGGGTTCATTTACGGAAAGAGAAGATTCAATGGTGTAGAAATTCCTCTAGATTTAGTCGGGCAGCCGCTGGAGAAGGCTCTGGCAGCCACAGCAGCATTCACTCGCCCATTGCAGAATCTACCTGCATCCGACCTTTTGTTTGCTTCACCGGTGAGCGTAGAAGACGTAGCTGCGGCAGCAGTGAAGGCTCTGCAAGACGACGATTGTTTCGGAATTTTCACAATAGAACAAATTAAGGAGATGGCAAAGGAGATCATGGTTTGATAGAAAACTCTTCTCAATTGTCTTTTTTTTTTTATACCGGAAGTGGGCAGCGTAGATCGTATAGTGGGGCCTGAAGTGAGTCCGTCTGTGAATACCATGTTATTTTTAAACAGATCATCTTCTCTTAAAATGGTGAGAGTCACTGGAGTATAGAATCTTGTGTGTGATTTGATCAAGAAATTACAACCTTAGTGAAAAAGATCGACAGTTTGCGCCTAAATATGCAAACTACAATAGTGGACATATTCTGCCGTCAAATGAGAATCCTATGTATCACGATATTTTGAGCAGATTGGTACTTCATTTTTGCCAAATCGACTTAGCATCATACAAGATAAAGCCCCCCTGATATAAGCTGCTCAGTAATGTATTCTTGAAAACTGTCACATGGGAGTTGTAGGTTTTACCATAGCTTCTCAAATTTTTGTCAAATCAGTTCTTAAGGACGCATCTAACACAAATTCTGGGAGATAGTACTATTAATGCTATTTATAAGAATAAAATAAAATGTTTTCATTTTTCTTTTCATTTTTTGGTTGAATTTTGCAAGTATATATTTGAAAGAGACTACTTGATTTCAATCAAACACAAGTTAAAAAAGTTGTGGCATTTCTCTTTCTTTCCTTGGTTTAAAGATTCTCACTCTTCATGCCTAAGAATCTTTGGTACCAATCTACTTACATCTTTGAATTGCAATTTGTATTTAAGAAATAATTGTATCAATAAATATAGATTATAATCAATATCAAATTATAGTAATGTGCTACAAAACTTATGATTAATCATTTACAATATTTATGCAAATTTATTATTAACCATAAGCAACTAATATCTTGTTGTGATGTCCAAATTATTAAAATTATAAATAATTCTATTTTTTTTTAATCTCAAATTTTTCATATGACAACTTGTATTACTTTTAAGATATTTATTTGAGACTTAATTATGGTGCAATAAATGACCAATAAGCAAAAAACTTGTATATATATATATATATATATATATATATATATATATATTTTAAAGCTTGTAAACTTTTAAATATAATTTTAGAATATAAAAGTATAAGGGATTTTTTTTTTTTGAAGTAAAAAAAAATTATAAAAATATTTATGGATAAATTATATCAAAATTTACTTATTGTTCTAATAAGATTTTATATTTATAGTAGTGACCATGTATTGAAAACAATCACATATATATACATATAATATAAAAGTTACATAATTGGAAAATATCAAGCACTTGTGTGTGCCAACCATAAACATAAATAAATATTAGATGCACATGATGTTAACCTTATTCACAATCAATTACATCTCCAAAGTATGCCTTAGCTAATCAAGTATGTTGAAGTCCTTGAATTTTTTTTTGTTTATATTCTACTCATTCAAATATATTACAGTAGTTTTAAGGCTGTTACAGACATAACCAATACTTATAAATACCTAGATAAGAGGAATTAGGCAAAAATCAATAAAAATAGGTAAATAATATAATATCTTATGGACAAGCTTCCGAAAAGCTTTATAAACACAATTTTGACTAAATATGTGTTTATAGGTGATAAATATGTTAGAAACTTGGCCAACATGTTGGCCATGTATTGCACACATGGCACACATGTAGTCAAATTAGACACATATCCTACAAGTTGAATACGTGTCAAAGGTCTTATATAACATTTCTATATAATTCTTAGTTAGATAGTATATATATAGGTAAGATGAGGCATTCATTACTCTAGTCAACACCTTTCTTGTTCTTAGTTTTATTTCAAGAGTTTTGAACTCTTCATGTCTTTGGCAATAGCCATTCTAATTTTAACATATATATATATATATATATATATATATATTTGTGATAGAAGAATATATTGATTTTTTAGTTGTTTGTTATTTCTGTTCTTAACAAAAGAAATTCAAGTGCTTTGCGACAAAGTTAAGTTAGTGAGGCATTGTAAATTGATTAATACATATCAATTTTATTAAAAATAAATATTTTAGTTATTTTTTTGTTTTTTAACTTCTTTAAGAAGTAAAATTCTTAAAGAATAAGAAAGGTATTTTAAATAAGCATAGTCTTTATTATATCTAAAACAAACTCTCTTAGAAAACTATGTTTTAATACAATGCTCTTTGAATAATGAGGAAGTATCTTGTTGCTAGCAATTTCTACAATAGTTTCTTTAGTGGTATAGTTTCTAGTGCTTTTGAACCTTTAAGTGTCAAATCAAACATATCCTAAAATTAGTTGATATTTATTTAATAATAATTTGAATTGATTTAATTGATTTAAAATAAGTTGACATCTTAAATAATATTGTGATTTCTAATTGTAATAGAATAAACTTACTATGCAATCAGCAATTTTTTTATGCCTTAAATACACCTAATATGTATGTTTATATATGTTTAGCATATGCAAATGCTTGGTATTTTTTAATTGGCTTAGTTATATAATGACAAGAATATGTATATAATTTTTGATGATATATGAATATTGATATAAATACATAATCTTATAAATAAATATATATAAAATTTTAAAAAATATATAGAGTATTTTATTCTAATATTAGATTTTTATTATTTAAATATTTAAATTTAAAATCTTTTGATTCTAATAGTAATAATTATATCACATTTTAAAGACATATGCAAAAAAATCAATATAAACCAAATTTCTTATAGTTGTTAAAACTTATTATTTTAAAAAATATTTATTATTATATTATAATTTTTTTAATATCTTAAATTTTAAACTTGAAAGGATTAAAAAATTACTCAAAGATGTCAAAGACATGAACTAGAAGAAGATGAATAAACTTGGAAAAATCTACGTCAAAAGAAAAGTGATAAAATAGAAATAAAGTAATATGTATATTAAAAGGAAATTGGAATACCTATTGCCAAAAGACAAAGAAACTAGAGACTCTTAAATCTAGACTAGAAACAAGAAAGGAGTTGATAAGAGTGAAGAAGGCTTTACTCTTACCTCTATACATACTATCTAACTAAGAACTATGTGGCAATGTTCTATAGGACCTTTAATATGTGTTGACTTTGCAAGATACATGCCTTAACTTATAAGGCAAGTTTTCTGTATGTAGGCCACATAATTAGCTTGTTCTACAAGCTATCAACATGGGTGGCACACAGCCAACTTATTGACCACGTTTCTAACCTAAAAAGTCAATTATACATACTTATAAAGTCAAAGCAACGTCTATAAAGCTTCTAGAAAGCTTCTATAGAAGATATTATAGAATTAACTTACTTTTATCTATTTTTATTTAATCATATAGGTAATTATTGGTTTACATGTGTATATCCATGACATTGTCTCCTCTTTAAGCAAAAAGTTCCATGAAGAGCAATCATCATATGTTGAAGAAATCCAAGATGCGATAAATTATATTTGCTACATATTCTAATCTTTGTTTTGTTCAAAGATAGTTGATAGGGCCTCTAAACCATCGATAATGTCCCATACTAGGGTAGGAAGATCACCCAGTTATTTGATCATTATTGAGGCTTTCATAACTTCTTTCAAATAAAACATTTAGAATATTGTTAAGAGTTGTTCATATGTCTAGTAAAATCACCAAACATCAAGAATCCCTTCTAAGGTTGTGATATCAAATGCGTTGTATTTTGCCATCTATTCAAAGAAGAACATGTCATTATGGAGGATTTTCATCTCAATTACATCATCTTGAAGGTTGTGACAATTGCAATGTCTTGTTCGATAAGTCAATGAACGAAGTTTCTTGAGTTGAATCTATTGGTTGCTGGTTCTCAATTTTTTAGTGTCTCAAATATACAAAAACTACAAACAAGGATAGAAGGTAGAATGTTATCTTCCATGGACATTGTTTCTTTTATAGCAAAGATTTACAATTCTTCATCTTAATTTTGATGGATGTTGTCGATGAAAAACATCTATCGCTTGTGCTGTATTTCTAAGATTTCTTTACTAACTCCTAAGTGCATTCACTAATATAATATCTGAGTCAATGGATAAGATATTCTAATTTATTTCAAGACCACTTTGAATCTAGAACTTCTTTCTTTTCAAATTCTTTAATATTGTCCACTTCTATAGGAGGAGGTGGAGCTTGTCTTCTTCTTCATATATTCACAGTCTTGTATGATTCCAGAAGAGATACATAAAAGATAGGATAGATCTTTATTAACTCCAATAGATCTAATCGATAAGCAATTGGATTGATTTGTCCACAAATAAAAAAAGGTTCAAGCTTACGGTAGTCTAGCTTATTACAAAGATGAATAGTCTTCATGTTACGAGGAAGTAACCGTATCTTGTCACCTACATTGAATTATAGTTGTTTCTTTCAATAGGCATCTGTGTTCAACTTTTGTTATTCTTAAGCTTCTTTTAATTGCACTTCATTGTTGCATGTAACTCTAATAAATAATTTTCAAACCTTCTGCCATAAGATTATCAACTTTTAAAAAGTCAAAAGTATTAAGTCGTGGATGGTAACCATAATTGGTAAAGAAAGGTGTTTATTACATAGAAGAATGCATTATATTATTATAAGCAAACTTTGCCAATAGTAAGAAGATTCTTCAATTATCTTGTTGATAATTAATGGTATACCTTAAGTATTGCTCCAAAACTTAGTTTATGCACTTTGTTTGTCTATAAATTTGAGGATGAAAGGCCAAACAAAGCTTTATGTCTACCTTTAGAATCTTAAAAAGAATTATCTAAAATCTTGATATAAATTGAGTCTTCCTATTTGATATAATATCTTTTGGCAATCCATGATATCGATAGATATTGTCAAAAAAAAGCTTGGTAATTTCTTCACCTATAATAGATTTTGTATATGGTATAAAATTTATCATTTTGGTAAAATAATATACTATCACAAATATAGAATCACACAATCTTGAGATTCGAAGATTCATAATAAAATCTATAGAAATAAAAGACCATGGTTGTTCTAAAATAGGTAATGGTGGAAGAAGTCGATAAAATTGATGTCGAGGAATTTTTTATATTGAATAAATGTCATATGATTGAACAAAGTCTTTTATAGTATTTTATATTTACAGCTACTAAAAATCTTTAGATATTAGCTTCAAAGTCTTGTTATATTCAAAATGTTGTGCTGTTGGAAAATCATGACATGCTTAAAGAACACGTAAATGTGTGTTTTTTTTTTTTTAAAAACACATAGGCATCCTTCAAAATAAAGTAAGTTGTTCTTGAACTCAAACTTAGAAGTATGACGAGACTTAGAAGTAGTATTCTTGATATCATGAACAAGAGGATCAAAGGACATACTTAATTGAATT